GGTTTGACATCTATTTTCATTTTGTATGAACAACAAGGATCTTTATACTCAAACAACCTTTCTGGCTCACATAAACTTGTCTCTCTTTCATTCTAATGTAGGTACACAAGAAAACAGTTTCCCAGTGATATTTTTTTTTATTCCCTTTAGCAACTAAATAAAGGCTGAGCTCCTACAGAGCAGATGGGAGACTACCTACATGAGAAAATGGCTCATAATTACAAGCATTATAAGTTCCATGGAAACAATACAAAATTGTCATTATTATTTCACCACAAATACAGAATTAAAAAGTAAAAAGTTCACAGAAAATGAAATAATGCAGTATACATAACAGAGTACTGAACTTTCTGGACTCATTCCAAAATTAACATTTTCAAACAAAGCGTATGGCTAATGCAAAACTCGTATGACAAAAAGTAAGACTTTTTCATATATATCAGCCTTTTCACATGAGCATAATATTTAGTCTGTACTTAGCAAACCACAAAGATATGAATACCTACCCTGCATTATTACTGACTGCTGTTATTCCCTTTACACCAGTCTTCAGTAAACCCCCAATGAGGTTTTCAGGAATCCCACACAATCCAAAACCTATGTAAATAAAAGAAAATTGAATATGTAACAAGTGTTTGAAAGAACACAGATTAATCAGAAGTCTAAGAATGTGCACTGCTTTATTAAAAAACTTTTTTGAGCAGAACAAGCTCCTTCTAGTTGACGTCAATAAAAGAGCACTTCCGGAAAGAGTTGCACCCTAGTACTGGAATCTTCCAGTCTCTAGATGGTTCTCAGTTTGGAGGAAAGCCATTTAACCATCTCCACCCACACACAAATGGCCTTTGAAGAAGGGCTCCAGGATCCTATTGATGGTACTCATTATTCCTTGTTCCCTTTCTACTCAATTAATCTTCAATGGTTTGCTGCACATAACAGCATCAAACAGGAGGACCAAGTTGCTCTTCCACACAGCCTAGCCTATAATTAGGTGATAAAAATCTCAGAAACTTAATGCTCTCAGGAAGATGTGTAACTGGAAGTACAGTAACCCAGATCTCCACCCAGGCTAAAATACCTACTATGCAAGAGCCCAATATGCCTAAAATGAAACACCACGCCACATCTGAGGCGCTTAAGTCTTAGACCAGGCCCTAACACTACAACTACTACCATTTTCCTCCCAACTACTTAGCTCCAGACCTTCTTTTGCTCCAAAAACAACAAAAAATACAATAATTCTTCCTAGAAGGAATTTTACTTCATTACACATCTCCAGTGAGGTTTCTCATGTTTCACAACATTCTATTAGTTACTTATTCAATAGTGAAAATCATTTACAACTTACTACATAGAGAGATCGCTTTTCTCTCAGTAGACCAAATAGCATGAAATTGTGGAAATCATATAGAATATTCAAAAGTTGTGAAAGTCAGTATGACACAACTTCCTTATTCCTGTGGAAATGCTACACATAACTATTTCGTGTAATGTTTATAAGTATTATCTTCACTTCCTACAGCCGTAAACAGGTTAGGTGATTTGTTCAAGGTCACAGAGATCAAGTCACTTGGCAGATATAGAATACAGAAAATGCTACCACAAGAAAAAGAAAAAAAAAAAATTAAATTTTACTTCCTCACCATCTGAAATAACAATGCTAACTTTAAAAATCCTAAATTGATTTTCTGCATTCAAATTGCATGAGTGAAGTCTAAGCACTTCACTAGTGGGAAAAAAAAAAATAATGATTTTTCTAGGACTTTTTCTCTCCCCTAAGGCACAAAGTGGGCTTTTCTCACTGAAAGAGTGTCCCTCTTTTATACCCACACAAGCATATGTATTCTCAAATTAGTTAATATTAAAACAAACATGGTAAACCAGTAAAAAGTATCTCATTAATAGAATGTAGTTGCATCCAGAAATAATTTAAATATTTACCACCAACAAGTATAGTTGCTCCGTTGGGTATATCTTTTACAGCTTCAACAGGATCAGTATAAAATTTGGTGTTGCGATGACAGCTAGTGGAAAAATAGTATCCAAAACTCTGGAACAATATTAAAATAAACAATTGAATTAATAAAAAGATTACATAGTAGCTTTATAATGATGACAATCTCTCTGGATAGGTAAGTGGGAAAACATTGAATAAATATTGCTACTATAAACAGTAAACACTGGGGGGGAGGGGAAGAGAAGGGTTCAGGTCTTCAAAACAAGGACTATTGTCTCTTCCCTGCACCCACATTTTACAGCGTTCACATGCATAATGAAGGCTTTAGGCTTAATCTGAATCGATTTGACAATATCCAAACTGATTTTATATTTCTGAATTCCATTCTAAACTGCTGACAGATTGTGCTTACTGTGAACAGATCCACAAATGCAACTCCTCAGCACAAGTCAGAGCAACACAAAGGCTGCTTTAAACAATATATTGTTACTTGCAGCTTCAAAGATATCCAGACACTAGGCATAACCAGAAATAGCTGAAGAAGAGCCAACACCACCACAAAATTTGAGTGGAGGCCAAGGAACAATATGAAGTACATCACTGTGCTGGCAGCAAAGTAAGAAAAGACCCCTTTCAACAAGGCAAACCTTTCTCCAGCTTCCTAACACAGTCTTACAGGTCTTCAACAATTTAAGTTGAAGGATCAGAAGACTTCAACAAACTGATGAAATGGGGAGGGCAAAAGGGAAACCAATAACAGATCTCACTCACAAAACTAGACTTCACAGTGCAAGGCCATTGCACAGTTACCATCATAACTCATCTATTATATTCTTAGGTCATGGTAACCTATTTTTTTGTTGTTTATTTTTCTGTAAAATGGGAAAGAGGGAGAAGAATGAGTAAATATATAACGAAGCTAACCTATACACTGTTTAAAAACAATAGCCTAATTCTTCCCTAAAGAGTTGCCTGAAGATCCGGTTACAACTGGAGCAGTAATTTTTGGCTCAGTTTCAAGATGACACAAACTGCCTTCTTTTATAAAATTAAGGCTGCAAGAGTTTATATTGAATATTAACAAAATCTTTCTGAATGGAGGCTCATCTGCTTCCCAAAGGAAACACTGATGTTTCTTTGTTCTGGTGGGCTCAAAAATGAAATCAGTACATGGGTCATACAGAACAGTGCCAAGTGAGAAAAAAGACCCTTCTCCATGCTCAACTATACCATGTTTCTCTCAGAAATTTTTTTTCAGAAGGACAGTAAGACTGCAAAGCATGTCTCTTCTGGTCACATTCAGCAGGCAAGGGACAAAATGAGTTATTATGGCTGGCAGCCTCAGGAGACTTGGTACAAACAGGTCTGTTAAGCAGACATGAGGACTAGGGCTCGAGGTGGCCAGACCACTGTTGTGTCACTGTACCCACACACCAGAAAATATTTTTAAAAAGACCATGTGGTACCTCTTCCTTAATCTTCCCAACTGCCTGCCGCAGAGGGGAACAACAGAGCAGCATGTGTTATATATGCATGTGCTCCAGGATGGATGCCTCTAACGAGGGTACATGCCCTTCTACACTAAACAGGTTCGTTCCAGTCCCTTTCCCACCCACTCTGCTCTTTGAGAGCAATGAGATCTTAAGGAAGCAAGATGCCTGGGATCAACCATGCTCCCCTGCACACAGAGGCAGCAAGCTAAGACCTCAGGAGCTGTCTGCAATTCTGACACATCAGATTTAAAACAGAAGCAACACGGGGACAGACGAGCTTCTAGAACAACCAACAAAAATCTAAATAAACTTTACAGAAGAGCAAAATACAGCTTAGCAAAACAATGACTGAAAGAGCAATCATTATTTGCCCATAAAGACATCAGGAAGAGTAAATATGGGTATGAGAAGAACAGATGAGCTGCTTCAATTAAAATAAAATAAGAAAAGCCACAGGAACAATTTTGGCTGAAGAAACTAAAAATTAACATGGCTACGGTTGCATGTGGGCTGGAAACCATTATAACAGTGAGGTCAGGTAGAACCTTCCCCCAGGAAGAGGAAATCGAGCAAAGGAGCGAGCTGCATGGCTGAACTCCACGCTGTATGAATGGCAGTGCATGGAGGGCTGCAGGGAGCTGTGTTCCTGACCTGGGCTCTTCCTCCCGACACCTGCCGCTACCTCAAGGAAACACCAACGTGGTGAGAAGACAAGACTGGAATATGCAGCAACACACTGCAGTGGTGCAGCGATTTCAAATGCGGGGTAAGTAAACAAACTAAACCTTAAAGCCAAACCTCCAGGCTGGTCCCCAAGGTCACCGCATCCCAACGCGCCGCGGGGGCCGGGCTTATCCTGGAGACGCGCTCTACCCTTCTCCTCGCCGCCCAGCCCCCGCGGGCCAAAACCGGCACCAAAACCAGTTGTTTTTATAGAGAAACCCAGGCTCATGGGTCGGTTTTGTCTATGAACAGGTTCCCCTCGGGCTCTAGGCGCCCGCCCAGGCAGGGTTCCGCTGAGGGGGAGCAAGAAGCCGAGTGCCGACCCGTGGCCTGTGTCCGCGGGCTCGCCTTTACCTCAACCGCGGCGCCTCGCGCCCGGGGGGAGGGAAGAAGGATGCGGCGGCTGAGTGGCGGCAGGAGGAATTTGTACGCCGCCATCTTCGCGCTGCTGGGATCTCGGCGAAGGGGAGCGGGGGGGGGGCAGGCAGCGGGGCAGGGCCGAGGGGGTAGCTGCTGCTGTCCAACGCCGGGAGAGGGGAGCGGCTGCGGGCGGGATGGCGGAGCCTGAGGGCGGAGGAAAAGAGGGAGGTTGAGGGGCTCGGCCCTGACGTCGGCTGCGACCGAGGCGGGGCCGATGGAGGGACGGGTGGGCCGCCGTCGGAGGTGGGGCGGCAGCCGCTGGGGCCCGAGCTGCCGCTTCTCCTCCTGCGGCGGGCCCCCCAACCCCGCCAAGCCAAGACAGGGACGCGAGAGCTGCGCAGCCCACGGGTACCACCAGTTTTGCTCTATAAGCTCCTCAGAGACACGGAAAAGGCATGTGGAAAAATCGTCAGTGCTACAGTGCCTTCAGTTTTAAAGGACGGGAATCTCCCCGTCCATCACTTCCACAGACACCTCCTATGTGCCATTGCAGATGTCTCCCTTTGAAGTCAAGGTGGTTTAAATTTCTGCCCTACCACCTTCACAGAATCATTAGGGTTGGAAGGGACCCCTGGAGATCCTCTAGTCCACCCCCCTGCCAAAGCAGGGCCACCTTGAGCAAGTTGCACAGGATCATGTCCAGGAAGGTTTTGAATGGCTCCAGAGAGGGAGGCTCCACAACGCCCCTGGGGCAACCTGTTCCAGTGCTCTGCCACCCTCAACGTAAAACTCTTCCTCATGTTAAGGTGAAACTTCTTGTGTTTTAGTTTATGGCCATTGCTCCTTGTCCTGTTGCCAGATGTTTATTTATGTTGAGGTTTATTTATCATGAGATCCTCTCTCAGTCTCCTCTTCTCTAAACAGGCCCAGCTCCCACAAGCTCTCCTCATAGGAGAGATGCTCCAGACCCCTGATCATCCTTGAGGCGCTTCACAGGACTCTTTCCAGTAGCTTCTTGTCTTTCTTGTACTGAGAAGCCCAGAATTGGACACAGTACTCCAGATGTGGCCTCACCAGGGTCAAGTAGAGAGGTAGGATCACCTCCATTGACCTCATGGCCATGCTCCTCCTGATGCACCCCAGGATACTATTTGCACTCCTGGCCGAAAGGGCACACTGCTCGCTCATAGTCCTTTAAGGACTAACATCACAAGAAGCAATGGAACGACAGAGGCTTTGAATGGTTAAGTTTCCACTGTACAGCCCTTAGGGGTGAGCCAGGCTCCAGTAAGCACGTGGTTTCCACAGGGCACTTGGATGCTATGTTTGGGTGGAAAAATGTTACTAGAATAGATATATACTCATTTAAGCAGCCACGTGATGTGAACTGCTGGTATTTCTGCTTCTGCTAGAAGAAAAATTCAAAGCATGCCTCTGCCATTATTTACACTGTCTAAAAATACCCTAAACGATTAGCGCATGCCATAATGATGCCTGATGGAACAGAAGGATTCACAGAAAATTGTGAGCATTTGTTCAGATGAGGGAAAAGACCAATTCCCCTCACACACGTGATGAAAGGTCACACTTCTTGCAGGTCACACTACTTCTCCTTTGTTTCCAGCTTGTCTCCAGCACAGCTGCTGTGCTTAGCCATTGAGATATGAACATGCAGCAGGATAGTTTCCAATGAGGAAACCAACATTTTAAAAGAGTGCTGCCAGTTTCCAAAGTGTTAGTGCACACCCAGCCCATTGTATTCAGAGCACTGGTCAAGCCTTGCAGCCTGTCTGTGGCCCAACTTGTCTGTGGCCCTGCCATACGCATTTTAAAAGGTGGCAGTACCAGTTGTTACAGTCCATGTTACAAACCTTGCAGATGCCCATAAAGCGCAGTGGAGACATCTTTCCTGATAGGAAAATTTAGGGTTAGCTTTTTCTTAAATATTCACTGTATCTAACTAGTCAGTTAAGTCTGAGCAGTTCCAGGTGTAAAAAGCTACAAATTACACAGGCTTAAAGAACTGAAAAACAAAGTTAACTGTACAGCTTGCATTCTTCCATGGCTAAGCATCAGCATAAACTTTTTAGAGGGTGGATTGCTGAGCTTCAGTTCTGCCGAAATGTCATATAAACATGTATATTCCTTAAGTCAGGTTTCCTTTCTTGAAAAAAATTTCATAAGCATTGGAAAACCTGTGTAAAACAAGTTTATTCTCTTCCTTGAAAAAAATTTCATAAGCATTAAAAAACTTGTGTAAAACAAGTTTATTCTCTTCAGTTCAATAAATATCTTCCTTTAAATCAACAGTGTGCATTCTCAAACCTACCAAAGCATTCACTCCTGAGTACTTGTTACATCCCCTGAAAGCATTTATTTTGCATGGGATTTGGCCTATTTGTGACTGCAACAACGTCCCTCCTTGCAGGCTGAAGGAAGGGGGCTAACTGCATGCAGTTGGTATAGTGCATGAGTATTTGTACTTCCTTGGAACAACTATTTGCAAAGCTGGTAATTCTACTTATATAAATTACAAGTTTTGAACTAGATAATTGGGGGAATATACCTTCTCCTTTTCAGGTGCTATGGATTATCTAAAATCAAAATTATTTAAAAAAAAAAAAAATTTTGCAAAGCCCATGTGCTTCAGACTGCAAACCCTCTTATTTTGGGTTAGAAAAGCTTCAAACATACCTGAATGAGTAGATAAAAGAATTTGTTCTGGAGTAGTTTATAAAGCATAGTAGATCATCTACTTTGTCTTAAGATGTCTTAAAGCTCTTCACACAAGGACTACAACTAAGCAGCCAACATGAAACAAGCCTCTGAAATTATCAAGAATACTTTTAATATGATCTTAGTTTATTCATTGAAGTAAATCACATGACAATGGTAGCATGCAAGTCAAACACTTTGAAAGGTCAACAGCATTTACAAATGAGTAGTGGGAGAGTTTTGAGCCATTGATTCCAAAAACATGTCAGCAGGGAGGCATTCTGGAGCTCCCACAGGTTAATCATTATATATACACCATATAACACCAGCTTACTTATACTACTACCAAGCATAATAAAATGTCAAAGTCAGCACTCCAATACAGTGAAATAATATTTCCCAAACAAGCCACTAGAGAGTCAGCAGATAGGCAGGCTATTTTTGTATGTTTGATTTACTTGTAAAGGGGGGAGAACCAGAACTCTGAGACTAACAACTTTGTTTCTAGACAAATTTCTTAAAATTTGTTTATCCTCAACCCTGATTCTAGCTAACTGAAATTTAGCAATTTACCTTTCTTTCTGATCCATTGCAATCTGGCAAAGAAATTCACTTATTGAGGCAAGAAAATCACATATGGAGTCACATAGAAGGGAAAATTCTTTAAACTATGAAGAACACACAGAAAACACCTAAACCGACATCCAGTGTCTTAATAGATCTCAGTCCTGAAACAAGGGTGTTTAAGTATTTCTGAGTATTACTCAAGTACTGAAGTATTTTTTATATTAATTATTGAAAAGCACTTGAAACCCATCTTTGGATAAAGTGGAATGAACCTGATTCCCTTGTTACAGGATGAAAGTTAAAAAAAAAAACAACAAAAAAAGCATTTAACAGCTTCCTCATCTTCCTGCAAGGATGGAGTACTACAGGGAAAACAAATAAAGAAAGAATATACAACTTTTGATATAGACCTAAAAGCTTTATATAGTTATAAATACATTCTGTCTGAGAACATAAAAATAATTATGGGCTCCTGTGTGATATATTAAATTATTTTAAGACCAACTCAGAGAGCTTACGGGAGATATATTTAACTAGGGAAAACAAAAGGGCTGCCACCCGCATCACCAATGATTTCACAAGTAAGCCACATGAACTTAAATACTCAACTTATTAACAAGGTTCCAGTGAAAGGAAGGTCATTACAAAGAAAAATGGATACTTACAGGTCTAGTGAAAAGTATACATGTTAAAAATCAGCAGGGACTTGGCAAACAAAAATTCATACATAATATAAACACCAAGGGCAAAATTAAATTGGGAAATACTCAAAAGCCATCTTCTAGACAGTTATGGAAATGTAAAGCAAATGAGAGAACCACAGAACCAAGATTTTTGAAGGAAATTACATGCAAGGTGTGGAGGAATCCCTTTGCTGACTAACTCTGGCAACATTTTCTCTTCCTAGTCCTAAACTTAAGATAAAAGGCAATACCAAACTATGAAAGGATCCTAGAGCTATGTAATAAGAAGAATTAATAACCTTCTTTTTGGCAAAAGAAGTTCTTTATCCCTGGAGGAACTCTGAGCAAACAATAGAAGGTCAACAATTATTTTTATTACAGTATCATAGTGGAAGACAGCTCACCTAATTAAGAAAATTTCAAAAACTTAATTGGATAAGGAGCCGGACATTGTGAAAAATAATCTGGCATGATTTTTTTCGTAATAATCCAGTTACCATTAGAGCAGTCTTATATGTCAGGCAGGATGCCCTGCTTTCATATAAACAATACAGAAGTTTCTAGATCATGTCGGTTTATCTTGTCATTATTACAAGCAAAGATAAGCAACGGTGAAGAACTTAAAAGCCACTGAACATTTTATACTTGGTCAAGATGAATTAAAGTTAGCGCAGCAAGTTACTTTGACAGCACTAAGAAATAGCAACTGAAATATCAGCAGTTAAAAGTTAAGTAGTTACAACAATTCTGTAGTCTTAAAAATACAAAACTTTGGACTTTCTGCCCACTGCAAATGCTGCATCTCAATTCAAAACCACAATATTTACAAGGTGTAATTATGCAGTATTTAAAATTAAGGTGCAATTTTTGTTTAAATAGAGTCACAAAGTCTGTTACTGAGCATGATCCTTGGCACTCCTATTTATGTTCATATATTGCCTAGTTAGTAACTGAAACCAACACTGTCTAAATTAGTTAAGTGTAATAACCTTCAACAGTGATAGTCAGTATGTCTACTAGTTCTGAAGAAGGGATAAGTGACTTATCACTCCTTTACAGCAGGAGTGAGATAAAAACAAAATGCCTATTCAGCAGATACTTACAGCCAGCAGCTGCACAAGTTCCATATGTTTGTGTACTGATACTTACAGAGGTTGATCTAAACTCTTATTCAGAAAACCCTACTAATCTCCTATTCCTCATTTTTGACAGGAATTTTTTTGTTGCAAGAATGCAACAGAACAGGAAAGTCTGTTAACCCCCTTCCCCAGTCAAACTGAAAGAATGGGATTATATTACAAGTCCATGCCAACAGTGTTGTAAAAGAGTAAAGGTAAACATAGCAAAAGAAGCTACAGAAATAATTAACTGTAAACAGGAATCCTATGCAGCTGTCACACCGCAAGTCAGTTCATGTTTGGTAGCACTACTGTAACAAGCTTTTCTTGATTCTGCAATGCAACTCTACGTTAATAAGCTTTCAAACAAAGCTCATCAACAAGAGTATACTTTACATGCAGAGCCTATGAGGACTTTGTAAAATTACTAGTGAAGAAATCTGTCTTTTTTTCAGTACACAAGTTAGGACAAAAAACACAGAGCCTTAGGATGATAGTGCAGAACTCTGCAGATATGCACAGTAAACAGATCACACACACAGCCCTCATACTTCACAGCGGCTAGTGCCGTACAGTAACACTACAGGACAGTTGCCCGAGATGGAAATGAAGAAAGCAACACCTGCCTGTGTGCAAGTTTCACCCATCTCTGGTTTCCTCTTGTCATCCATTTCATGGGTGTGGAGCTTCATTGGCAAACACCATTTCTTGGCTTGAAGAGTCTTCTAGCATGGAAAGTCACACATGCAATCCAAGCCCTTGTAACTAAGCTATCATCTACTGACTAGGGAGACAGTTCCCTGCATGCACTGACAAAAACAAGTGCCAATCCATTCTCATCTGAATTGATGTGCCTAATTCTTCTAGTCCATCCAACTGTTGGAGGAACAGCTGTCTGGAGTTCGGAACAGCTGTCTGGAGTTCAGAACATCTTCCCCTCTACAGTGGGCAACTCATCAACAGTTTGGTTAATATTCTCAATGATGTAAAACTAACAAGAAAAGCAGTCATTTCCTGTGATATTTCATTTCTGTCACAATCAATGAAAAGAAGAATTAGTAATGAAGGTAACTTACTTTTCACATGGGATGTATGGTAAAACAGGAAATTTTGTTGTTATGTGCTCTGTAAAATTATTTAAAATGAATCCCTACCATTAATTCATCCATTTTTTTAAAAGGCCTCTTCGAATCAGTCATTCTGGGGTTTCTCTTGCCTCTTCCCCAGTTTCAGTAAAGTTTGTCTGACTTCTAGCCTAGTTCTACAAATACACACTCAAAAGAAGTGGAAGCCTCCCAAGACTAACCAGCAGATTCCCTGCATTTGCAAGCACAAGGCTGCTTGCTGCAAAGCTCGGGGGCCTCTTGCTCTTAATTTCTGTACTGCACTTTTGGGGTTTTGCAGAATTTCACTTCATATTGACATAACTACCACAAAACATCCCCATTAAAAGCTGGACGATCCTGAGCACACTGGTGACACCCCGTGGAAACCTGCTGAACTCTCAAACACAAAGGGCTTCAAGGTTTTTGACACTTTTTTCCTTCAGCAAAGATGCCTCTTCTTAGCTGACTCGGAGGCCCTAATAACGTGCTACTACTATAGCAAGTTTGGCATAGGGATCTTTATGTACCAGTGGTAACCACAAAGACTTGAGTCGAAGCTAGCTACTATGGGAATGTCATACGGAGTCTCAGATCCCACATAATTTTAAAGCATCTTTAGAATGTGTCATTCACATGACTGTAATTATTCACCCAGGTGATAAACATGATGCTTTTTGGTTGTAGTGCATTTAAATTGTCAATAAATTAAAGCAAGTGCTTACTGCATTTTATTCAGCCTGCAAGTTATCCACTCCAGGAATCAGAACATATGTCAACGATCTTGGATTTCCCAACTACCTCACAGGGCAAAAACACTGATTACCATTAACACAGTTTGCAACTCCAGCAGCTGTACACTGTAAAGGAGGAATTACTTGTGACAAGAACAGGTCTTCAAAATCAGTGTGCTTGTATTTATTTTCCTATGCCTTTGAAAAGTTAGGGTATTTGGTTGAACTTAGGTTGAAGTGAGTTCCCTCGGCAGTTACATTCCCAGGTAGCAGATTTCCAGCAAGCCAACCAGAAAACCTCAGATACTTCAGAACCCACGCCATGCTTACCATACAAGAAACATGGACTTTTTGCCCTAGCAAGGACAGTACATGCATTTGCATGGTTGAACATTCAACTGCAACACAGGAAAAGGGGCAGGAAAGCTTTTAACATACCTGAGATTCCCAGTCATGTTCATCTGAAAGACACAATTACATGAGAACAATTTAAAAAGCAGTATTGTAAAGTGGGAAGAAGGGGAAAGAGAGCAGAACAGCTATTTAAACTGGTACTCTTTCAAGAGAAACACTTGCTAAACTACAGCTTGACATGTCTGTCTTGCATTCTCAAGTACATACTGCATCTTATCCATCCCATGATCCTTTCAGGAATTTTGCGGTTTGGTTTTGTTTCTCAAGGGAATTCCCAGAAGAACCAGAAAAGCGTTAATGCTAAGTGCTACACAGATTGATACAATACCCCAATTAGTAGATTTAATATTTCTATGATCCAAAACATTCAAATTTAGAAAGCCTCTTACAGTAGCATAGAACTTTACTAAAAGCCAGGTAAAGGTTCCCTGAGGGTAAGTTATACATTACAATTTCAGAAGGAAGTTAAAGTCTCAGCTTACAGCACTCAGATCAGCTTGTGATCCAACTGCAGGCTAGGTTTGTGGAAAAAAAAATAGAAGCTTTCAGTCAGATAAGCAAGCTGACCTTATACACGAAACCAACACATGACTCGGATTAATACAGTCACAGATGGGAACATGCAGTTAGGGACATGAGTCTGGTCACTGTGACCTATTGACATTACTTCTGCATTAGCTAGAAGTCAGCCATGAATTACATACATCCTAAATTACATACACAGTTATCAGTTGCAGCCCGGGTTGAAGACTGCTGTAAGCAAGTTCTCCCAAACCGACATGTACACCATAAATGAGATGTGGCAGACACAGGCATTCTTTTGGATAAAGGTGTCCACAGTGCACACCATTCTTTGATTATTAACACTGTAATAGAAAAACACAGGCTTCCTTGTTGCAAGTAAACTACTTCCTTCCATTACAGAATATTGTACATTTTATACTTGCTTTTTGAAAAGAAACTATTTCATCTCTCCCTCAAGCATCACAAAGCAGTTCCTATCTGTCCATTCCTAATGCTCCCTTATTCAAGGGAGGTCATTCAAAAGAGAGTGGTTCCAACATCAAAGTTCAGTGTATGCCACTTTTAAGAACCAAAAACTAGACTGTTAAATCATTTTGTACATCCAGAACCTATTTAAATGTGAATCAGGTAACATGTTGTCCTAGTTGCAGGTGACTACAACGTAAGAAAGCAGCTGGTTTACATTTTGTCAGGGCACCACCCAAACTACATATAGAGCAGAAAGCAGGTAAAACAAAGAACAGTCATGCCAGGTTAGGAAAACAAATGTATGACACACCTACAATGTCTACTGATATTTGGCCCTCACATGTCTCCAGAATAAATATATTTCACATCTATTGACACAAAGGGAAAATTCCATTACAGATCTCCCTTATGCCCTGATTTCACATTTGGCATCAACAGTATGAATATCAAATGCTCTGATATGGATATATTTCAGACTTTAAGGGGACTAGATACTTCCTTATTCAGTGCCATGACATTATCCACTATGACAATGAGTTCTGGAAATTATTTCATAGTACTTAATCCCATGAACATGGAGGCAATCTTTGATGACTATCTTCCAGTTTCTTAGCATTATTCTGAATAAATTCCACTTTAGCCTTCCCTGATAGCCACAAAGCCGCACAGTGAAAGAGAACATGCTACTTCTTTTTTGAATCTGAAGAACATTTGAAAGGTAAAACCATAATATTGACCATCTTTCTCACAGATATTAGATACAATAAACTCATGAAGTTCACATACAGTAAACACCCTTGATTATTAGTTTCTGTAAATAAATACTTTTTTTTTTCAAGAGCAGAAATATTTCATTCCAACAATACAGTGATGAAAGGCCTGAGGACAGAATATTCTATAACATAGTTTAATAAATTCAGATTCTCTTAAGTATTTATATAAAAAACATTTCTTGTAATCCTCAGATAGCACAGTTTATGGCGCATCTGACATCTGAATGCAATAATTCAGTTGCTAGTGATCCAGCTCTGACCAGCTGAGCCACAAAACAGATTTTGAAGCTGGCACCTCCCTTCAGTTCACCTTTTTGCTCACCAAAGCTCCTTTGTTGATTCAAACTAAAACAAAATAGACCAGAAGAAAACTTCAAACTTATTTTGGGCAAACTTGTTGCTCAAATCACAAGACAAGTATGACTAAATGTCATTAATCCATATAAATGAGTAAAAGAGCAAGTACCTTGGATTAATTTTTATAAACTGCTCCTTAGCCACTGCAGGAACACCACAATAGCAAAGCTTCATTTCTAAGACAGCTAAATCAGCATAATGCTCATCACACACAAAAATTCTGATTAAATCCTGAATTCATACTAACACCCAAGAGAACGGAATTTATCCCTAGTTTAGGCAATTATGCTTTTCTAACAATATCAAAGATTGTAATTTTCTTAAACAAAAGAACACTAAAGAAAGTCATTTACCTCTACTTTCTTTGCTGACAAAAATATACCATTACTACTTAACATTTTACAAATATTCCCTAATTTAATTAACTCACCAGATATCAAATGCATTTGTGAAATACGTCGCACAGCTGAATAAGCCTACCTCATCTTTCCTTAGTCAACTCACATGTGTCTCAAGTTACAGTTACAGAAACAGTTGCCTGACACTAAATTACCTGCAAAATTTATGAGGATCACACATCAGTCATACTTGCAAAATAAGGGCAAGGATTCATTCTGAAATACAGTAATTCAGTGTCATTCTAAGATGCTGTACCACACACAGTATTATAATTTCTCTCAGGTTTTACAGGACTTGAAGCATGCTGCTATAAACTCGTATTAGCCAAGTACCTCTGTATTCATATCCATGATGTCTTCCCTTTTCATTTCAAAGACACGCTTTGATCACAGACTCTACAACTGTTAGGAATCTGCTACATAAGGGATCATTTCTGACATCTTTTGAGTGTTGTTTGACCAAGTCTAATCTAATTTTTCCATCTCTGTCTTTGCATTCAATTTTGCCATTACTAAGTACTTCCACCTCCATACATAATCTTTTTCTTTCCTTGTTTGTCCTCCTTTTATTTTTTTATTAAACAGTAAGAGTCAGTTCATAACCAAAGCAAATAGTAAGTGATCTGGTAATCATCACCAGGTTTGGTAACCTCTGGCCAGAGGACTAATTTGCTGAAGGGAAAGTGTCTCTCTTACAACTTTCATTCTAGAGCTCAAAACCACACAGAATCAGAGGGCTGAAGGGTCCCCTCCTTGCAGTCTAGATTTTCCTAACTACTGGCCACTTTCTCTCCAAGAATTACTATGACTTCATTATCGCCGCACTTACCTACCATAATTAAAGAAAATTTGTAAAACCTTGTCCTGGGTTCAGCACTAGCAGTCTTTTTTGTCTCCTTCTTAGTAGCTGATGCAGTGCTGTGTTTTTGACTTTCAGCCTGGGAACAGCGCTGATAGCACCAACCGTTGCACCAACTGCTGCTCAGTAATTTTTACTCTCACCAAGGACTTCCTAAGTCTCATGCTCTGCCAGGGAGGAGGGGAAGCCAGGAGGAAGCAGAGACAGGACACCTGACCCAAACTGACCAAAGAGGTATTCCATACCACAGCACATCATGCCCAGTAGAGAAACTGGGGGCAGTTACCTGGAAGGGTTAGATCATTGCTCGGGTCAGGCTGGGTATCGGTCGGCGGGTGGTGAGCGGTTGTATTCTCTTCCCTTGTTATTTCCCTTATCATTATTATTATTGGCGGTAGCAGTAGGGGTGTTGTGTTATACCTTAGTTACTGGACTGTCCTTATCTCAACCTGTGGGAGCTACATTCTTGTGATTCTCCTCCCCATCCCTCCATGAGTGGGGGGGAGGAAAGGGGGAAAGGGAGTGAGCGAGCAGGCTGCATGGCTGAGTTGCCGACTGGGCTTAAACCAAGACAAACCTGCTGTGAGAAAATGGGGGAAATTACTCCCCCAGACCCACAAAGTTCCATTACAACACTAAGGGAACCTTAGAGTAAAACAAAGGTGCTACTTCCAGGGTGGGATACAGTTGGCATGCATGGAAACTATGCGGTGACAGTTCCCCGGGCAACCCTGCAGCCTTGCACATCCTGAGAGAAATTGACCAGAGTGTGGAGCAGAGCAAAGGCTCCAAGGCCAGGCTCTGCTGTACTCTCTGCAGGAGCGGGAACTTGCGGGCACCATATACTGATAAACCACACAGCAGCTGCCAAACAAGGAAACAGGATTTGTACTTTAAAAAGCAAAACAAGTGAATTTTACAACAATTGGTAACAAAGTGTGTGTGACCGGAGTCACTCAGCTCCACAGGCACAGAGCGAAAAACTGAAACCTGTGTTACTATGGAGAAGCCTGGACAGATGCAAGAGCCTCCCACAAGGCCAAGATAACACTGACGAACGAAGAATTGACAGCAGGAGAGGTGGCCTTGCCCTTGTGTAGATAGATTAAGAAACAGGGCTAACGAATCTCTAATTGGGAAGGACTATCCTTGAAGCCTGATACATCTTGGAAGCACATGGACATTGCCAACATATGGCTTCACACATCAGCAAAACTTGATTAGGGTGTCCTTTTGATGAAAATGATTTGACCTTATGCAAATTAACTGACACTATACAAATTAACTGACACCTTCATACATGGTGGGAGTGTTACAGGGAGTTACTAACCTGAATTGTATAAATATGTGAAATTGGGAAAGGGAAAGTAGGGATGATTCCATCATAACTTCTGGGATCAGTTAATGGGTTGAACCTGTCTTCTCCCCATATGGATGCCTATTGGTTAAGAACTTTATCTTATGCGTGCTGAATGACTAACTCACACTAGCTGTTATTAGTGATTATAATCTGGTTGTGTATCACTTCAAGCTTGTTTTTATAGACACTACCTTAGCACTAGCAACCTCTGAACCCTACCCTGTCACAAAGTTGTATTTTATACATACACTTGTATATATATACTTGTATATATACACTTGTATTTTTATATAAACTTGTATATATAATAAAAGACTTCAGCTGAAGTGTATTTCATGTAAGTCTGCAGAGACCTGAACATTTGAAATACAGGATTTGACTTGGTGATGCTGTCAGCGCAGCTCCCTGAATAGGTTAGTCAAATCACCCCCAGATTTGGTGGGCTGTCAAGTAGGGTCCCTGTAACAGGACATGAACGGGTTAGTTGAGCACAAGGGTCTCATCCTTCCTGGGACACTGGCAGGCTGGTCAAAATATAATGTGACAGTGCTGGTATGCAGGACAAATTTGGACAGGTAGGTGTAAGCACTATACAATCCTCAGGCAAAAACAGTTCACCGAGTATGAGACTAGGATTGGATTCAGCTGCACAGTTCTCAGTTCTTCTGAGATCTGGGGATCAGCTGGGAAGCAAGGGTCTCCCTGCTGAACCCTGTGACTCAGCAGGAGTGTCTCCCTAATACATCTTGCCCGCTGGCCTAAGGTGAACACCAGTTCCATGACACCTGCAGAAGTTAAAAGTTCTTGAATAACGGTAAATAATCTTGCCAATAATGGTAAAAGTGTTTCAATCATTGCTGTGCAAAGCTGCTTTCTCTAGACAATTATATATTATTGATTAAAGCTAAAAATATTTTTCTAGTTTGGATAATACTAAACATAGAGGAATGACACATTTGTGTTTACGTATTGTTTCTTTACCTTACAGAAATAAAAGATGTCACAGACATCTATAGCAAGGTAGATTACGCATGTTGCTCATTCAAAGTTTTCAAGTATGTAGAGATGTGAGGCTAGCCCAGTTCCATAGTTAAATATATCAGGACAGTTAGTGTTTATGGAATACTATAGGACAAAAATTATGCCAAAGTGTACAGAATCACAGAACCATAGAATTGCTTGGGTTGGAAAAGACCTTTAAGATCATCAAGTCTAACCATTAACCTGGCACTACCAATTCCACAGCTAACCCAGGTCCCTAAGCACCACATGTACACATCTTTTAAACACCTTCAGGGATGGTGACTCCACCACTTCCCTGGGCAGCCTGTTCCAATGCTTGACAGCCCTTTCAGTGAAGAAATATTTCCTAACATTTAATGTAAAGCTCCCCCGGTGCAATTAACTTGAGGCTATTTTGTCTTGTCCTTTGTTTGTTACAATGTGTTCTGTAGCAGCATACACATTTACACACACAGATCTCAGAAGCTCAGGGTATGTGGTTTGGAAGGAAAGAAGCAGCAAAATCTACTGTAGCAATCTACAGAAGCTACGTTACATTCACACCATATATACACACATGCACATGCACTAAGAGATATATATGAACCCCAAAATAACAGCTGTGGCAATGACATATTCTTGGCTCTGAAGGAAAAATCCTAACAGCTTTCCATCTTCCGTCAACCACAACTCTTTACACACCACAACGCTTTTCCTGTTGTGCTTCCACTAATTTAGAAACAAAGCCTGCCTCTGAAGAGCCAATACATTATGCCTTTCCCTACTAGTAACAATGGCCTTAAAAACACATAGTGCCAGGAACTGAAAGATCATAAATCCCACATAAATCCCTTCATCTTTTTACCATCTTTTTTTTTTTTTTTAACATCATTTTACTATATTGCAATTATTCCCTAAAGTAACTCTAGGTAGTGAAACAGTTTTCTGCTTCAAAGTAATCTATGTTAAGTATCACCCAGCAAGAGTGTTTCAGAGAAATACTGGATGCAAATCTTCGTGTGACGCTCTGAGAATTTGAATTTTAAGATCTCCCAGCTCTGAAAAATACAGTGAGAGGGAGCAGACCTCAAAACAGATGATGCTCATCCACATATCTAGCAGGGATCCATCTAAACAGGTTCTAAGTAAAAACAAAAATATAAGGCAAATTGAGCACACTGTTCTCTCAGATAGTCAGACACCTAGTCTTTCACCAGCCTTCAGACCAAAGCACTTTGCAAGGTGTGAGGAGAAGTTTAGCATAGCAGCTCCACAAACTAAAAAATGCAGCCTGGAGGGCTAGTGCTGGAGGAACTACATCTTGAGGAATGACAGGCCACAGCAGCCAGGAGAGAGGCAGGGCCCATGGGGAGGGCTTGCTCACTGCAGTGAGGAGACAGCAGCCCAGCCTGCTCAGCCCCAGTGCTCTTCCACTGCTTCCTCACACATTTCATGGCAAAATCAGGTTGGGGTGTGTGTAAATAAATTAATAAACAAAGAAGCAAACAAATCCACTAAAAATCTTCAAGGTCCTCTTTTCCTCAGGGAAGTGGACATCACCCCCCTTTTCAACATTTGTAGCAATTTCTATTTTACCAGCTTCCATCTCAGACACTGGTGAGAAACATCAAACCAGATTTCACTGTATATTTAAACAAAGAGTATATAACAATTTCTGTGAGAAAAAAAAAGTTATTGCACAAACATCTAGCTTTCAAATAGATATAAAGTAAACTGTAACAGTGCCTGAAGCACAGTAAGAAAAAAAGGGACCACTTCCTTAATCGAATGACTCAGCACACAAACCCCTTAAGTTTATGTTTTGTTTTCTTTTGTTTTTCAATAGACATCTGGAAAGCTGGATGACATCTCCTGCACCATTAAGGGCTGACCCATCTGCTCACTCAACTGGTTATGAACTAAGAAAGCAACACAGTACTGAAACAGAGAAGGGCAGGCAGGACCAAGCAAGCAAAGGATCTGAAGAAAGGCCTCAAAACTGACAACAGGGAAAGTGCTGTATTCCACTTCAAACATGAAGCACCACCTCTTCTGCTCCTAGGTATGATAATGGTTAACTACCACAGTACTTTTTGTATTGGCAACACAGCTGTTCCCGGTATCTGTTCCTTGTATCCGGCTACAGACTAAGCAGGAATGCATGACAATACACATCCAACCAAAATATTAAGACATTTCTCCTAGAAATAGACCATTTCTGGAAGTAAACACAACTTTGCCTTTTAGGGTTTACTTTTTTTTGTTGAATATCATCTGTTTGGCAACTCTTCCAGAAGGGCTAACACAGCCAACAGCAAAAACATCTATGTCTGTAAGTAAACAGCTTTCCACTACCTAAAGTGCTTCAGTAAATGGCACTTTTTGATCTTGATTTGGGTTTTTAAGTAATTCAATGGGACATGGGCACAAACACAATGCACACTATGACTTGAAGAAAATTCTTTGCTCAATTATTCTTTTAAAATAATCAAGCTAACAGTCCAGAATATTGTGAGGTGACAAGTTACGCCAGTGGACACTGAGGCATTAGCTTTTTCAAGGCAGGTAAAGAGGTGGAGAAAGCTAGAGAAGCAGTATAGTGAATTACAGCATTTTTGTAACTACACAACATAAAGTATTAGCTGATTTGATGAGGAGGTACTAACAAGACTTTGTTAAAAACAGAAGGAAAACTTATGAATTTCCTCTCATTATATGGAATCTATTTAGCACTTCTCAAGTTAAGTGTTCTATTTAAAGGTGGACAAAACATTGGAGCAACACTCTCCAATCTCTAAACAAAGCTATAGTTTCAAGATTATTTAAGTGTACTTTCACAGCTGTACCTCTACGTGTTAAGTAATGCAATACTAAAATGTAAGTTAGAACCACCAATGTATTTATCGACAGAAAATATGGGTTTGGTCTTAAACGCCTCTGCCTTTCGTTTTAGTTCACCTATGGGCAAGCCCTATCACACAGTGAAGCTGTAGAGCATTCTTCTGGGGGCAACATATGGACACGCCATGTATTTCTGGGGGCCCCGAAACAGATTTGCACGAGCCATAATTTTTTTCTTGTAAGCGAGAGCTTTAAACTTCACATAAAACCAACCCCGAAGTCCCGCCTCCAGGCCACGCAAGGCCTGCCTAGCAGGCCTGCCCTCCTCCTGCGGCCTCGCTATGGAGGCCAGGCGAGGCCTATTCACGTCACCGCCGCTGCGGAAGTTCCAGCCGGCAGGAACGGGGAGTGAGCTCCACGAGCATCCGCCCCTTCTCATCCTGCCCCGCCGGGACAGGCGCCGATCACTATCGGTGAAGAGCGAACAGCCGGCGACAGCGGCCACAGCGCCGCTGCGCCTGCGTGCCGCTCCCCGTCCCAGCGGCCGCCATCGCGGCGGGCCCGGCCTCCCTCCTGGTGCCGGGCGGCAGCGATGGGGGAGCCGGGCTGTGCAGAG